AGAAACCAGAGATGTACAAAATGGTTTTTTAAAAGTATTAAATACAAAATGCAAATACGTTTTTGATTTGTTATTTCAAATGTAAAATACAAAATAGATTTCCCTTTTGTATTATAGATGCTGAATGCAAAATGTATTTTGAAAATACTTTTCTCAAATAAATACTTTTTCGTAGTGCCTATTTAATTTTCCACATTCCATTCCATTCCATATTGAAATTTTTCTAGACTAATAGTGGTGTTTGCAAAATTGAGTATGATTCATATTTTTCTGTTTGAAGTGATTGAGATATAGTTTTTCTATCTTTATGTTATACATAGTTTCTTCAGTACAGCAACAAATAATTCTTCTATATTATTCCTTATTTAGATACCTTTGTCACCCACTTTAATTGGAAAAAACATACTGATGCCAAAATAGAGTTGCTAATAATGTTATTGATGTAAAATCAACATCAATCATTTTATATCAAAATATTTACAAGCCCATTTTGTTTCTGATCTTTTACACATTGTAATAAGAGAAAATTTTGGATTATAGGCATTTATTAGCACACCACAATATCTTGTATTTTTAAGTTTTACACAGCTGGCGTATATCAATTCGATATTGTTTAGCGGGCTGTTTTGTCGTAATTCATAGAATTTCTTGCTAAAGGTACGATAAGTGGTGATTTGGCAAGTGCTGATATCAATTTGGAACTTCAAAGTTCATTGAACATTGAACCCGGAAAACACTATCGATTCAATATTTTAGATTATCCATTTCCAAGAAGTTTAGAATTTTTTGGCTCTCTTTACTTAAAGAATTAGAGATTTTCATGGAATGTTTCTTTAACCCCCTTTTAAGTTTTTAATACATTTAATGGCCAATGTGAGCAACTTTCATTCATCATTGTATGTAATGTTTGATTTGTGTATACCTATGATACTATCAACACTTTTAACGGCAAAAATGTATTTCGCATTTTACAAATAGAAACTACGTTTGGAAAAGTATTTCAAATAAAATACAAAATGCTTTTCTCAAAAAAGTATTTAAATGCAGGATAAAAATAGGTATTTTTTATTTTGTATTTGCATTTTAAATTCAAGTATTTCAAATAAATCACATCTCTGCGAGAAACGCTATAAATAACATTACTACTGATAATAACTTATCCCAAACGTTTCTGAGTTGCAGTGACTAAAACATCTATAAGCAAGTAAAAATTTTAGAACGTAGGATTTTTTCTACAATAGTCTCGAAAACCCCTTAGCAATGTTAATTTTCTGGTAGTCGACATCTATTATCAATTTATACGTAAGGATCCTAATTTTATTTGTAAGGTTTCTCGAGATCTACAAAATTTTCAAATTTAAGCGAAGAACACACTTGCGCGGTCGCGATCACGAGGCGATAGCGATCAGATCCTTCTAATGAAATTCCATACCGACGGCCCATACGCGATCACCCAAGTTACCGCCCCAATAAAACGCTACGGGTTAAATCTGATCGCTGATCGCGTAAAATTGAATTTCGTGAAATGGAAGATTTTAGCAATATTATCCAACGCAAATCAATACATTATGTGATTTATCAAACCTCGATTTTCTACACGCAAGAGATGTAAAGCACAAGGTAAATTAGCAATTTTTACTATCGTTTACAATTTAAATATCAAGGGTGTAAAATACTTTTGTGACGTTTTTCTTCACTGTCCAGTATTACTGCAAAGAGCAGTAGTTCTTAAGTATCCTCCAACCTGGACTTTTTACATTAACGATGTAAATTACTTTGGTTAAAATAAAAATAATCTACCGGCGATTGCAAGGTCACTATCGTGCATTCATATGTGTGCTTTCTATCGCAGTTGTGATCGTCATAGCGGTCGCGATCGCGTGCATTCTTCGCTTTAAAGTTTTTAGTTAGACGAACAGTTTTATCACTGAATCTGTTATTTCTTCCACATAAAATGTCTATAGTGTTTATTTGTTTTTTTTTTTATTAAGAAACCTTTTTTGGGGTTTGGACAGCAACTTACTAAAGAACCAAATTTTATGTTAATGGTTTAGGAACTTGACAAACAAGGAAAGAAACAAACATTAATTTTTAAACATGTAGCATCGACCTCGATATTGATATATGGGTGTGTGCGTGTATCAAAGCAAATCTTATTGTTTAATTTTATCTATTAAAACAAGAGTTATTATTGTAATTGATTTATTTATTTCGTAATTGTTTTTTGTCGATATCGTTGTCTAAGAGACTGGAATTTTAATAATAAGTACCAAATTAATAGGCATTACCTAATGCAGATTTTAAATTGTGATACCAATTGATTTATCTGATAAAATATTAAACAAATTCTCTCGTTTATTTCCAGAGCAAATTTTTTATTGCTCCCCTTAATACCTGTCAGTTTTTCTCCAGTGTTTAAAGGTATTCTAGTTGCAGGCGGTGGAGTTGTAATTTGTTCATTCGTCAAACTACAACACACTTTAGGATCGATGCCTTGAAATCCACAATTCGAATCCCTTAATAGATTTGCGTCTTCAGCCCTAATCGGCACATACGAAAGTATTCGAAGCAATTGAGGACAATTTTTTATAGTTACACATTGTCCTCTTTCACCCTTTGGCGTTATGCAATTCTCACAATCTCCAACACACTCTAAAAATAAAATAATTCAAATTTTGTATTACGAACGAAATCCACTGTAATTTTAGAATAATTATCACATACCTATTTTTTACAGCATATTTACAGGAAAAAAAAAAACAGAAATACCTTATATAATGTTGATATTTTTATGCTTATATTGACGCAATTGCTCGATAAAATAACTTCAATCACACTGGGAATATCTTATGACATAATCTACTAACTTAGCATTAAAAAGTAAAAACCAGATTATGGGCAAATATTAAAACAAAATATTATTAAACCTCTCTTCTCTCTTTGCTTAAATATCACAAACTTGACGAAGTACGAATAGATATATTCATAAAAAAAAA